CGCACGGTTGCTTCTGGCCTAGCGAACAACTCCTGGGTCTCTGACATCCGCGGTGTCCTCACTGTCCCAGTCATCTCCCAGTTTCTCCTTATCTGGGATGCGGTGCTTCACGTGCAGCTCTCGGTGGGTGTCGAGGATCGTCTCATTTGGCGCTGGACGTCTGACCAGCGCTACTCAGCGCGTTCGGCATACCAAGCATTCTTCTATGGCCAGCATTCCTTTGCATGTGCTAATCTTCTCTGGCATGCAAAGGGTCCTGCTAAATGCAGGTTCTTTCTTTAGTTTGCTTTCTAGCAGCACTATTGGACAGCTGATCTCCTCCAGAAGCGTGGTATCGATAGTCACTTGGTCTGCCCCTTCTGCGCCCAGGATCTTGAGACGACGAATCACATCCTCCTCGACTGTGTGTTTGCTCGGCAGGTCTGGCTCTGCGTGCTTTCGCCTCCTGGGTGGGCTGCCCTCTCTCGCCCCCCCCTCCCGTGGTAGCTGGTTCCAGGACTGGTGGTTGTCTTGCAGGGCCTGCTTACCTGAGCATCTCCACGACGGTTTCGACTCCCTGGTGCTGCTAGTTTCTTGGCAGTTGTGGAAGGAGCGGAACGCTAGGGTTTTTGACTCTGCGCTCTCTTCTGTCTCAGTGGTTCTGGAGTCCATCCACTCGGAGGGTCGTCTGTGGTCTTTAGCTGGCGTTGCCGCTTTTGGGGATTTTTTTGGGAGTTTAGCGTGCCTTAGCACCCTCCCGTTGTCTTTAGTTTTCTGGAGTTTTTTTTTGTTTTTTAGCAGTCGTAGTTCTTTTCTAAGCTTTAGTTTTCTATTTTTGCTTTTTCTTCCTCCCCTGGCATAAGCCGGTCTGGCTGATTGCGTCGTGTAACTTAAATTCTTTTCTTCTAATATATTGACGTGCAATCCTTTTGCGCGTTCGCGAAAAAAAAGTTCAGCGCAAAGTTTGGATTTTGGTTCTGTGTTTAGATCCAAAGTTTGGATCCAAACTTCAGTCCTTTTCCATCACATCAACCTGTCATACACACACAACTTTTCAGTCACATCATCTCTAATTTCAACCAAAATCCAAACTTTGCGCTGAACTAAACACACCCTAAATATATGATGCTGATAACTTTATTAAGTCTATTTGACTATTCATCTTTTGTATAAATATTCATGGTAATAGTCTAATAGATAAGCATACAAAACACACTTCAAATATATATAGACTAAGAGCAAGTTTAATTGGAAAGTTCATATTAGAGTTAATATATACTCCCTTCGTCCCATAAAAACGAATCTAGAACCGGATGTGACACATTCTAGTACTATAAATTAGGTTGGTTTTTTTATAGGAAGGGAGTATATAGTAGGTGAGCTATAAGATTGTCTCAGTTTTTTGTCCTATTTTTTTTCTCTCATATATACATTTAATGCATTTATCTTGAAGTATTTGAAGAGCTAATACTATTATTTTTTCTATTTATCGTACTTCTTCACGTAAGTTTATAGTTGGCTTATAGACTACTATTAAACTTGATCTAAGGGCGTGTTTAAAATAGGGGAAAGGAGAAGATTAATGAGAAGATATAGATACTAAAACGAGGTAAACCATTAACACATAATTAATTAAGTACTAATCATTTTAAATTTAAAAATTAAATTAATATAATTTAAAAAAGGTTAAAAAAAGGTTCCGTTTAGTAGGTCCGGAAACGTGCTTATGTAAAACGAGAGACTTTCTCTTTTTGTCGTTGAAAAGGACACACCCTAAAAGATCAGGCGGTGGCACTCTTTTCATTACTGCTTAACAATGTACTAACTGAGCAAATATTATTGGTCAATTTTTGTAGAAATAGTCTATCATATATATTTAAAAGAGCAATGCTACGCGTACTAAATTTTTCTTATTCAACTTTTACTAACAATTATCTCAACCGTTTGATTTAATTAGATGGATGTTATAAAAAATCTAGATACACTCATAGCATGACACATAAGTGTTAGTAAGAATTTAGTGTAAGAAAAAGTTAGTACGTATAGACGTATTTCCGGCCTTTTGACCAATCCTGGCTTCGCCTTCATTTGCATGAGTTCCACCTCCATGCATGCATATATCAGATGCGAACGGATCAGATGTAGATGTACTGTTGTACAACTATACGTAGATACGCGGATATATGCATGTATTCAGAAGTTCTTTCTGCCGGTATACGTATTTATGAAGTACATATTGCGTACAGTCGGGTTCCAGCTAGTGCTGCATAGCTAGCTACAGTGCTAGCTAGCTCCTCGAATCAGATCCGTACGCACCAGGGGTGTTGGCTCGGCTCCACTCCAAATTCTTGTCTAGTAGTACTGTCTTGGATTGTAGTACTCTAATTACTAAATTTTACCTTAAACGCTAAATCTAAAATAAAGTTATAGAACAATCTAAACTCATCTCTACCTCTGTTTATTTTGTAAAAACACTTTAAGTAACTTTACTATCTCTGTTGGAACTAAAACTGTTTCAGGAGAGGTAGCGTCGAGCTGAAGCTTAACCAAATATGCCTACCTCTGGATTTTATTGGAGAGAGTGTCGAATGAGATAAAATTAATTTATAAATAGTTATGATTGATTAAAATGAGTAAGTATATATAAAGAAATTAAATAAGTTGTAGTTGGTTGAGATACATACTCAACAAGCTAGGTGAAAAAGTAATTATATTGTGGGACAATTTTGTTAATAATTAATATTATGTGAAAAAAATTAAATATGTGAGACAGAGGCAGTACCCTCCGTCCTAAATTATAGGGCGCCCCTTTTTAAGGAAAATTAAACTCAGTAGTTTTTTACTAATAATCATACTAATTATATCTATACTAAGTATTATGCATGTTATATCACGAGATTCATATTTTGAAGTATTTTCATGTGACGCTAAATTCATATTTTTTGGGAACATAGAATGAAATAAAATAATTGTCAAAGTATGTTATTGAAGATCATGTAAAAAAATATAGACTTTATAATTTGGGACAGAAGGAGTAGTAAACAAAACCACCAACTTTTGAATCAGGGGCAGATTCAACGTGTGTAGAGGGGACTTGAGTCCCCCTACACCCGTTGGACCCATGGATACCCCCAAGTCCCCACCTTCAATTTTTTTTGCAATAGTTGATAAGATAGGAGGTACTAAAGGTCTCTGAATAGCTGGAGGTTGAAGAAACCATGTATTGGTATGTTGAGATGGTGTGTTTAATACTAAGATGATATGTTTATTCCGATATACTCGGTATGTTGAATCCCCAAACGTTTTCTTTGTGCATCCGCCCCTATTCTAAACCAATAAAGCTAGGACTTGTTTTTTTTTTACGAAGAAAGTAGTAGATATATATTCGGTTAAGTCCATCCACGTGGGACGTACATTCTGCACATCGATCGAGCTGGTAACAACGACAAACGTTAATTTTTTTTTGTACTAGCTTAAATGACACACTACGGTGGATCTCCTTGCTCTAGCCCATGTAATTGTCTGAATCCTTGATCTTGTAGCAAGTACTTTTTACCGCTTCTAGGAATAGAAATGGGGGAATATCCCTTTAGTTTGATAAAAAAAAATACGGTTGACCGCTAGCATAGTCAAAATAGGTATAATGCAACCTGACCTTCCTCACATTGTTTTAGTTAGGGAAAACTTTTACATTTGGTTATCACATCGGAGATATACGGATATACATTTGAAGTATTAAATATAGTATAATAACAAAACAAATTACAGATTCCGCCAGGAAAACGGCGAGACAAATTTATTAAGATTAATTAATCCGTTATTAGCAAATGTTTACTATAGCACCACATTGTCAAATTATTGCGCAGTTAGGCTAAGAAGATTTGTCTCGCAATTCACACGCAAACTGTGTAATTGGTTTATTTTTTCACATTTAATACTCTAGTTATGTGTCAAACATTCAATGTGATTAGTGAAAAGTTTTTTATTGGAAACGAAACGAGGCCTAAATGACTCACAAAATTTTCTGACGACTGTCCAAGGTCGTCGAGCCTTAGTTCCGTCGAAGGTTAGCTTATAATTAAGTTTGGCTCGGCTAGGTAGGTGCTGTTTACTTCCCAAATAAAATTTTTCGCGCTGTAACATCGAATGTTTAGATATATATATGGAGTATTAAATATAGACAAAAAAAAAACCAATTACACAGTTCGCTAGAATATTGCAAGACGAATCTTTTAAGTCTAATTGCGCCATGATTTGACAATGTGGTGCTACAGTAAATATTTGCTAATGATGGATTAATTAGGCTTAATAAATTCGTCTCGTAGTTTTCTGGTGGAACATGCAATTTAACTTAATTTTGAAGTATTAGACGTAGACTAATAACAAAATAAATTACAGATTCCGCCTGTAAACTACGAGACAAATTTATTAAGCATAATTAATCCGTCATTAGCAAATGTTTATTGTAGCACAACATTGACAAATCATGGTGTAGTTAGACTTAAAAGATTTGTCTCGCAATTTACATGCAAACTGTGTAATTGGTTTTTCTCTTTCCCACATTTAATCCCCCATGCATGTGTCGAAACATTTGATGTGATGTTTTTGACCAAAATATTTTGGAATCTAAACAAGGCCTAAGAAACATGTTTCTATGCAGGTAGCGCCGGATTGTCCACTTACGTCCCTACGTACGAACGATTTGCTTCGATCCAACGAAAGTACTTCGAGATGCCGGTGCTTTGAGGTACCAAATCGTTTTCGATCGTTGGGTCTAACTGATCCAACAATCGAAAACGATTTGTTATTGTGAGGTACTGGTACCCTTGAGATATTTGTTTTTTGACCGGATTAAATCTCAAGAACAAATGAACGGTGCATCTGCAGTAGTATTGCACCGACCGCGCTCTGTTCCACTGAACCGAATTTACACCGTGCGCGTCAAGCCTGCATGTTTCCGCCTGACGCCGAAGGACAGGGGGGCATTACGTTCCGCGCGAAATCCCCCGAGAGACAAAATCTTAATCCGTAGCAGTAGTACTGCCCCCGTACAGATCTTAAAATCATCATCGACGATCACTTTCAGTCACCAGGACATGTGTACGTACGTACAGCACGCTGCACGCTACTACTACTACAACACTATCACCACGACGACAACGCAGTAATTAAACGCACGCGAAATTATTACCTAGACCCGTTCCATTGGCACCACCCAATTGATCCATGGAAGAACAGGTCTACGTGATAATTCCGTTTTTTGATCAACTCACACTGTCACACACACACACACACAGATAAGAGAAGAAAGAACACGAAGACGCATGCAGTAGAAGCTAGCTCGGCGACGATTGGAGTACTGGAGATAAGGTCTAAGCTTTAATTTGGAATAATTGATTAGCTAGAGCGTCATGGCGACCACGGCGGCCAGGTCAGCTAGCTCGGCTCCGGCCGGCGGCGACGTCATGCACGTACGCGCTCGAGGTGAGAGGGGTTGTGTCAGCCGCGATGCTTGCCCTTGCTCTTGCCGGCGCCGACCTGGCGCGGGTCGGCGGCGGCGGCGGCGTCGTTGAAGTCGAGGAGCACGGTGCTGTGGCACTTGGGGCACTTGGGGTCCTCCCGCGACAGCATCACGTACATCATGCACCGGGGGCACCCGGCCAGGATCATCCCGGACGACCCCCCGCCGCCGCCGCCGCCGCCCGCTTCCGGGCTCCCCTCCGACGACACGCACGAGCTCGGCGGCGACGCCGTCGACGACGACGACGACGACAGCCTCCTCGGCGAGCTGCTCCCTCCCACCACCCCCGACGACGTCCCCCCTCTCCCGCGCGTCGACGGCAGGTTCACCCGCGCCTCCTGCAGCTTCCCCCCCTTTCCACCATTGTTCCTGCTCATATTGCACCCAAGCTAAGCTAGCTAGCTCTCTTGCAGCTAGCACACGCACTGCAACTCTGCAAGCACGCGCGCGCGAGGTGGGCTTTGTGCGTGCCTGGGTTTTTGTGGGGTGGTGGTGCAGCTCCAGTTTGTGTTATATAACGAGGCCGAGGCCGAGGCGCTTTGCATCGCTCGATCGATCGATCGCTAGGGCCGGCGTTGAGGTGGAGGTGATGGTTTTCTTTATTGCCCGATCGATGAGCAGCAGCAGCTCGCATTTACATCCTTGCTTGCTACGACTAGGGAGCTTAATTAGCTCTCTCATCACTACACTCCTCGCACACTGTATTCCGATGCTAGCTAGCAAACAGCTGCTTGATTGATTCCCCATTTTGGTTTTAAAGTAAGCACACTATGACACACTACACACTTCACACAGCTAGCTCCTTCTCTTTCCTGTGGTTGAGGATTTTAATGTATTAATTGGATTGCGAAATCGGATGGGAAGAGTCATGCGAACATTATTACTGATGACATAGACTCGTATATATACGTCAATATATCCATTCATTCATCCATGCTGGTAATTCATCCGTGTTGAAATGGAAGTGAGAGGGCACGCATGGTGCGTGCATTGCATGCATGGCCAGGTACGGAGGATGCGTCAATGAGCTAGCTGGATGTACGGCCCATTGGTGTTACTGTCTGGACTGGCTGTGACTGCAGTAAATATTTACCTGGTAGAGCATATACCGGAGCTGTACGTTCAACAGAAAGTCTGCAACTGCATTCAGGGGCTAGTGCAGTGCGTGGATCCGTACTATACTGGAGTAGTATATCATCTTTCATTTTCCATGCATAAATATATTTACTGTTGCTTCTTTTTTCGAATAAAAAAATAGACATATGCAGTTGCTAATTCAGATAAGATCTGTACACTGTACGTAGCACTTGCTTGCGACTTGCGAGGAAGACCGTATAGTGTTGGCCTCTGAATATTCCCAGCTGTCGAATATTGAATCCCTCAGCTAGACCCTCTGTTTGATCTGTTATTGTCTTATTGATTTGGTTTCTAGCTCTTCAGTGTTGTTCATTTCCCTTCTTGCTTCTGATTTCCCTAACATTCATGCATCCCTGTTTCCGCGCGAGTTAGCGAAGATGCAGCCAGGCTGTTGACTAACAGACTGCAGTTTGTGCAGACAGAAGTGGTGATGCAATCGTGCGATTGATTTCAGTTTCAGTAAGACTTTGGCATAGACTCTGGCTCAGATTAAGAAGCCAGGAAAGTTCTTAAAAAACAAGCTAGGAAAATGTTACTGATAAAAAAAATACTACTCCATAAGAGTAGAACTTGCCCAGTTGTCCCCAAGATGTGCATGCACATCGTCCGCATAATAAAAGATCACCATGTTCCTGGCACGCTTCTGTTTTGGCGAGTTAATGGCATGCGTACAAGCCAATTAAGAACGAAATTTAAGTCAATCTGCATGGAGTACTAGCTAGTAGGGAAAACAGCAGTGTATTATATTGACACATCACTCATCACACATGATGAGGGTACATCAGGGTTTTACGACTGCTAGGTGGCATACACCTCTCGGGGAAGCTAGAACAGAACGCTGACTGTGAAGAGGTGATTGCTTAGAAAACAATCAACAGAAACTGAATAGTTCCCGGAGGCAGGCAGAGACATTTAGCTAGCCAAATTAAGTTCAGCAACATCACCACATTGCATCATGTCTATCCCTGACCACCGGGGAGGAATTGACTTTGTGCTGACTCCATCGTCGTCGACCGTCGTAGGCTCTCTCTGCTTCTTCCTTGTCAAATTCGGGACCACGCGAGACTAGAGACGATTGGAATTATACTGGATTTTGCAACGACAACGATGAGCACCAGTCAGAATCACACCCACATTCACCCTGGTCTCTGAAAGCGCAGGTCACCGCGCGCGCGCGAGATCTCCATGGGATAATCGGGTTCAGGCCCCTGCCTCCTCCTGGTGAACAGGCCATAAATAAATTTTCGGTCCGGAATGCTTCCGCGCGCCACTACTACGCTTCAACTCAACATAGCGCTGTCACTGAGGCCCAAAAGGGGAGTGTACAAGCACATAAATGGCACTGACGTGGTTGTCATTACGGGCCACAGCGCGCAAAGCAAAGCAAAACACTACTGCCGCTGCTGGCTGCTGCTGCGCTCCTCCTATACGATGGCAGCCATGCTCAGCTCGCTCGCTCTTACTTAGTGGAGGTGCATAAATAAGCTTGCGAGATAGTGGTTGGTGTAGTTTTTGGTGTATTTTTGCAAGCTCAGCTCGCCATGTGCCGGCCTTTATGTCACGCCAGGAATCTTAAGCCGGACACGAGTTGATGAGATGCTTTGCTAGCTGCTGCTGCTGCTGTGTGGCAGCCTGCCCGGCGGCGAGAGGAGCGTACAGTGTGACTCAGCGTGTGAGTAATCACCATCATCCACTGATCCTGAATGAGACCATAATGCGTCCATGCTGAGTGTATATATATGGCTATATATGCGACTTGAGCTGGCGAGTTCGATCGCGTGACGAGGAGATCGGATGGGCCATAAGCCCGTGATTCGTTAATTGAAGGAGGCTGTTCCAACGGCCCATACGAGGCTGTGCCTCACATTGCGCCAGGCTTGCGTGATCGGCGTGGTTGGATGGGCCGAACCTGCCGCGCTCACGTCGAATTGGGCCCACCGGCGGCCGCCGCAGCACAGTTTTGGTAACTTGAGACTTGACCCCAAAAAAAAAAAAACCTGAGGAAGTCCGCTGGTTCTGACCCCGTTCTCGTCTTGAAACGGAAGGCTTTTACTACCTACTCCCTCCGTAAAAAAAAAAAACCATTTCCGTGCTAACATTTGACTGTCCGTCTTATATAAAAAAATTTTATAATTAGTATTTTCATTGTTGTTAGATGATAAAACATGATTAATACTTTATGCGTGACTTATCTTTTAAATTTTTTTTCATAATTTTTTCAAATAAGACGAACGGTCAAACGTTAGACACGGAAACCAGGGTTTATCTTTTTTTTTACGGAGGGAGTACAGTATAGTTTTAGTATTTTTTTTCTGACGGATGTCAAACGGTCCGGTAAAATGAAGGGGTGAAACGGAACGCTTTGACGCTAACGTTCCCAAAAACAGAGAGCTGGTGCCATGGGAAAAAAGAATTGCTGGCACCACTTTGAGAATAAAGTAAGAGGTTATGATTACATTCCAAACATATCCTATACACATAAACTATTTATGCACACCAGTTAACAAATATCACAAAAAATTCTATAAAAAGTTAGATACATACTTACAATAGTATTACACATATCTGTAAAGTTTCACATTCAAATTCATTATTTTTTCTTCGTAACAAAAAAAATTGAAAAATCTGACAGTTTTAATGTAAAAATATATTAGAATTTTTGTCATTTTTGTTACAGGTTAAAATACAATGAATTTGAAGATAAGAGTTCACAGGTAGGTGTAATATTATTGGAAGTACATTGCCAATTTTTTATAGAGTTTTCTGTGATATTTGTTAGTTGGTGTGCACGAGAACCTTGTATGCATAAGATATATTTCCTACAAACAATCTCTATACTGATCTTCATACTTGGGCAACATTTTTTTTCAAAGACAAACCTCAAAAGAAAACGGGTGTCCGTATAGTTATTACTCCATATTACTCAATCCATTCTAAAATAAAAAAAAATTAGAAATATACACTTATTTTGGAACGGAGGATATACTTGCTAGAACACCGCAACCACAATATCTTTCTATGCAAAGAAGTATTGAATCTGAGCAACGATGCTATCACAATGAATAGAGATGGTGAGCGTCCCATGGCAGCGTCATGGCTTCTCGAGCTAGCTCCTTCCCGGCCTCCGGACGACAATGATGTCGCTCCTCGTCGAACCGCGTGGACAGTTTCGGAGATGTTGTTTACTCCCTAGCACACGGCCTACCGAATTAGATAACGGTGATTCCATGGGCATCATCTAGCCCTGGTTCGCTCAACAAAGGATTGGCGTGATATAGCAGGCTCTAGATGGCACAACACAATGGTTCATACCTGGGAACAACGCTGATCAGGAGGATTAATTCTCCTCTACACCTCTCTTCCTAGACGGTTTGACCACAATCACCTTGTGGTTGTGCCTTCATCACTAGTAAGGGGCCAGAGTCATCTTAGTTTCGATTCACGATCTCGCTTTTGCCAACAACTCATCTGCTATTTCTATGGACCTTACGAATTTTGGGCATGTGTTAGTGATATTATCATCGTAGGATAGTGCCTATAAAGAAAGTTACAGATTATGGTGTGTATAGCCGATTACAATTATGCAAATACTAGTAGGCATGGTAAGGTCGGTAGAAAAAAAAAGAAAGAAAGAGCAACTAAAGCTTTTATGATGAAAGCAGCAGCGGTGCAAATGTACATATAATCTAAAAGTACTTTTTTTTTTTACAAAGAACATCAGCAATTTATTCGTTAGCGCCATTACTATCGGTTTCTTCTACCTATATATCTAACTTTCCTTCAATAACAAGCATTTTGACATATCGATCTGTATACTAGCTAACACACATACGACGCGATTACAACAGAGAAAAAAATATATTTGTGTCTTTTTTTATTTGTCTTGTTCATAAAAAAAACAATGATAAGGGAGACAAGGTAAATATATATTAATGCAACAAGAAATACACAGCCATATTACATAGCGATGCTATCACACTTTGAACACAGCCTAGTATACTAGGGAATGTCTACTTTTGTCTTAATTATCGGTGATCAATCAAGCAATGGATATGTTTTTTTAATTATGAATAAACCAGTCGTTATATGTTAGCGGCACAAATCTACTAGTAGACATGTACCTCATTATTTCCATGGTGAGAACGTGTAAAGTATGGAAAGCAAGTGCTTCAGTTCTCTCCTTAATTTGCAACAGTGATACTCAACACTACCGTTGATGATAGTGTTGTCTCAAGATAGTCTATAATAACTCCCTACTTAAATAAGGATTAGTGTTATATTATCCACACAAAAATATGACACTTGTTCCAAGATAAGACATCATTTTGGATGATATATTATCCCTTCGTCCTCTCCTCGTTGAAATAAGGTTGAAAGCTACTTGGGGATTGCGGCAAATGTGACTAAACCCGGACTAGACTGGATCACGTTGCAAAACCCGGACTGGACCGGATCATGTTGCATATCCTCAACCGGACCATGCATTACAGGGTAGTGATGTCGTGGATACTCTTGTGCTTGGAGTCACTACGGCTGTCGGCGCTGGCCTGACGGATGAAGAACTTCTGAGCATGGCTCGCCACCTGCGGCGGCGTTCATGTCTTCACCGACCAGCGTGAGATATTGCGCCAGTCGCCACGTCCATACTTCTCCAGCCTTTTTCCAGGAATAGCCTACGCATAATAATAACAAAAAAAAAGGAGAAAAGGAAATTAGCCGCGATCTGGTGTAGTCGACATGTAGTAC